ACCCAACTCATTATTCGAGAGTCCACCATACCTACCTATGGATTGAGTAAGATCCTTCAAGTAAGTTGTCATCGGTGCAATAAGGCAATAAAAATTGCTTCTAAATGTGTTTGATCATTTAGTGTAAGAGAAAATTGAGCGTTGTACGAACTTGTGATGGCAAAGTAATAAAAGCAATGGACTGCATAATAAAGGTTGCTATCATAAGGGGCAATATAACGTGACGTTCTTTTGCATTAAGGGATTGAGCATACAAACAAAAAGTGCATGACAACCTCTGCTTCCCTCTGTGAAGGGCCTATCTTTTACTTTTATGTACTTACTTTTACGCAAGAGTCAAAGTATTCTTCCCTATTCCTTTTTATTTTCTCTTTTTGCAAGCATCATGTGGTGGGGAAAGATCTAGGCACATATATCCAGTTGGATATGAGCGGGCATGAGTTATTGTTGTTGACATCACCCTTGAGGTGAATATATTGGGACACAAAACTATAAGCCCCTATCTTTCTATCTGTCCGGTTGAAACTTTTTGCTCATGGGTATGCTGTGAGTGTTAGCAATCATAGAATACTAAATGCTAGTTAAGTATGTGGACTTGCCAAAAGGCTCCGACACGCGACCCTTCCTGAAAATATGATGAATTGTGGTTGCAAAGGTGATTGAGAACATAGTTTGTTGATTTTGAATGAAGTCTATGCTTCTACTTCGATGTTGTGATTAATTGTTACTTGTTCATGAGAAGTTATATGATAAAGCTTTATGAGAAAGTTTTGTTGCTTTTATATTAATGAGCATGATGCTACTTTGTCTGTATTTTGTTTTTATTGACACCTCTCTCTCAAAACATGTGGACATGGTTTTCAATATCGGCTTTCGCTTGAGGACAAGCGAGGTCTAAGCTTGGGGGAGTTGATATGTCCATTTTTCATCATGTTTTCCTACTATGATTTATAATATTTTTATGGTTAATAATGCTTTATGGAGTAATTCTAATGCCTTTTCTCTCATAATATGCAAGGTTTACACAAAGAGGGAGAATACCGGCAGCTAGAATTCTCGACCTGGAAAAAGCTACGTCAGGCCACCTATTCTACACATCTCCAAATGAGTTGAAAATTCAGGGAGAATTGTTTTGTAATATATGAAAAATACTGAAGCAAATAACTACCGGAGGGGGCGACCTAGTGAGCACAAGACACTAGGGCACGCCAGGCCCCCCAGGCGCGCCCTGGTGGGTTGTGCTCAGTCCAGCCCACCTCCGGTGCCCATCTTCTGGTACTGAAGGTCTTTTTACCTAGAAAAAATCAGGAGGGGACTTTCGGGATGAAGCGCCGCCGTTTTGTGGTGGAACTTGGGCAGGAGCACCTTTGCCCTTCGGTGGAGCGATTCCACCGGGGGAACTTCCCTCCCGGAGGGGGAAATCGAAGCCATCTTCATCACCAACAAACCTCGCATCTTTGGGAGGCCAATCTTCATCAACATCTTCAACAACACCATCTCCTCTCAAACCCTAGTTCATCCCTTGTGTTTAATCTTTGTACTGGAACCTTAGATTGGTACATGTGGGTGACTAGTAGTGTTGATTACATCTTGTAGTTGATTACTATATGGTTTATTTGGTGGAATATTACATGTCAAATCCATTATGCTATTCAATACCCCTCTGATCTTGAGCATGAATATTATTTGTGAGTAGTCACCTTTGTTCTTGAGGCCACGGGAGAAATCATGTTGCAAGTAATCATGTGGATTTGATATGTGTTCGATATTTTGATGATATGTATGTTGAGATTCCATTCGTGGTGTCATGTGAACGTTGACTACATGGCACTTCACCATCTTTGATCCTAAGGGGATGCGTTGTGGAGTAGTTATTAGATGATGGGTTGCTAGAGTGACAGAAGCTTGAACCCTAGTTTATGCGCTACTTTGTAAGGGGCTGATTTGGATCCATATGTTTAATGCTATGGTTAGATTTTAGCTTAATACTTTTTTCGTTGTTGTAGATGCTTGCAAGGGGGTTAATCATAAGTGGGAGGTTTATTCAAGTAAGAACAGCACCCAAGCGCCGGTCCACCCACATATCAAATCATCAAAGTAGCAAACACGAATTAAACCAACATGATGAAAGTGACTAGATGAAATTTCCGTGTGCCCTCAGGAACGCTTTGTTTACCATAAGAGACCGTTTTGGCATGTCCTTTGGCACAAAAGGATTGGGCTACCTTGCTGCACTTTATTTACCATTACCATTACTTGCTCGTTACAAATTATCTTGCTACCAAACTATTTGTTACCGACAATTTCAGTGCTTGCAGACATTACCTTGCTAAAAACCGCTTGTCATTTCCTTCTGCTCCTCGTTGGGTTCGACACTCTAACTTATCGAAAGAACTACGATTGATCCCCTATACTTGTGGGTCATCGGACTCCACTCTCCAAAAGGTAATAGATGGTGTGTAGATGATGAACTCCTTGCTCTTATGCTTCAAATGATAGGCTCCCCAACAGTCAACTCTCTCTCTCTCTCTCTCAGATTTGGCTATGCTGGAAGAAGGATTTGAGTGGAAAGCAACTTGGGGAAGGCTAGAGATCAAGATTCAAATGATGGGAATGGAATCTCTTGATCTCAACACATGAGAAGGTGGTTCTCTCTCAGAAAATGAATGGTGGAAGTGTGGTCATGTTCTGATGGCTCTCTTACTGAGTAAGAGGGTGGAGGGGCTTATATAGCCTCCACACAAAATTCAACCGTTACACACATTTGACCCAACTCGGATTCTCGGTGGCACCGACATGTGTAAAAAATATGAATGTTGGAGGTCTCGATGGCACCGACCTGTGTAAAAAGTATGAACGTTGGAGGTCTCCGTGGGACCGAATGGAAACATCTCGGAGCGACCGATGTGCAATGATAGGGCAAAACCTCGTTTCGGTAGCACCAATTGCATCATCTCATTAGGACCGAAGTGAAGCAATAAGGCAACAAAAAGTTGGCAAACCATCTCGGTGGCACCGATTGCAAAACTCGGTAGGACCAAAATAATTGCAACAAATAACAGGGAGTTGGCAAGGCCATCACGGTGGGACCGAGATCCACATCGGTGCATCTGGTTTGTTAGGGTTTGGCTGTGGCAGTTTCCAGATAAACTCGGTGGGTCCGGATATGTAGGAATCGATGGGACCGAGTTGGCATGTAGGGTTTTGCACAAATTTGGATAGAGAAGGTGATGTAGAATTTTGGAGCAATACCACTAAGCACTTGAGCAATCAGATCATCATCAAAATCTCATCCCCTTTTAATAGTATTGGCTTTCATATGGACTCAATGTGATCTTGGATCACTTAACCAAAAATGTAGAGTCTTGAGCTTTTGCCAATCCATATCCTTAGCATTTTGAGAGGGTCCACATCATCATGTCCTTGCCACTCCATCGTTGGAGTTATCTGAAATATTCTAGGTAAAACCATTAGTCCAACAATATGTATGTTGACATTGATTACCAAAACCACTAAGGGAGCAAATGTGCCTTCACCACTACAAGAGCAAAGTGGAACCAAGAGGGGAGCCAGTGACACTGAATCTAGGATCACATGATTGAAGAGGTACTCAATGCCATCTACTAGTTGTGCTCGTTCCTTGTAAAACATCAGTAATTGGTAAGTAGAAGTTGTAGTTCTGCCGAGCAAGTATCAATCAGAGGTAGCTTAATGTAACCTTCTTCGTATAAGTTAAAGATACTTACATCTGCGGTGGCGGATTCAGAGAGTGTGATTTACGGTTGCAAAACATTTTTGTATGTCTGAACAGTAGAGGTAAAATCCTAGTGTCGTCCAAACATGAAACTTGGATTTGAAATCTAGGTTTTTCCAAATTAAATCCTAATAGATGTTTCATTTCATTTCATTTCTACCAAATGAAATGAAATCAGGGAAGCCAAATGAGCTGTAACAATTTTTGGGTTTCTAGGGTTGCTACCCGATTTAGTGTTCAGGTTTTCTAAGTTCAGACTATACGGGTTTGCCTTCGGGATTTTCGGTTCAGGCTTCAGGTGTCGTTTTTATGCCCAACATGACTCATAGCATGCATGACTCATAGCATACCCCAACTTAAAAATGTGACAAATTGCAATCTTAGCTCAAATGGTTATGTTTCCCGTGGTGGTGAAACCAGTCCACCAGGATTCAAGTTCTAAAGTTAACACTCATGCTCGCATTTTCCTAATTTGATTTCGACAGTGTTCGTTCAGCGGGAGAAGATGTTCTCGTCGACTATGAAGACGTCTGTAGTGTGTGCGTTTATAGAGATGAGTGTATATGCGCATGTCCCCAACCACGGGTGGAGTGAAATCAAAAATAAAATAAAATCAGTAACTGAAAGAATAAATAAAAATGCAGTTGATGCCTTCGCAGAGACGAACCCTGAATTTTTCAGGCTCCAACCCCAATTCAACACTTCCCCTGCCCGCCGCAGGCACCCGCAGTCAACACCTACTACGCCGCTAACCTGTCCAGCGCCTCCACCTCCTCCCTTCCGGCTAGGCATTCCGTGGAGCACCAGCCCCCGACCGACCACCGCCGCCGCAGCCATGCTCCTCACGAAGCCCCAGCTCTCTTCCTCCCTGCTCGCATCCACGCCGCTCTTTAACCCCACATCCAATCCCAACCACGCCAGGCCAATCGCCGCCTCCCCCTCCCCCCGCCGCCGCCTCCGCATCTCGCCGGGGGCGACGGCGCTCAGCCGCGTCGACGTGCTCTCGGAGGCGCTCCCCTTCATCCAGCGCTTCAAGGGCAAGACGGTGGTGGTCAAGTACGGCGGCGCCGCGATGAAGTCCCCCGAGCTCCAGTCCTCCGTGATCCGCGACCTCGTCCTCCTCTCCTGCGTCGGCCTCCGCCCCATCCTCGTCCACGGCGGCGGGCCCGAGATCAACTCCTGGCTGCTCCGCGTCGGCGTCGAGCCGCAGTTCCGCAACGGCCTCCGCGTCACCGACGCGCTCACCATGGAGGTCGTCGAGATGGTGCTCGTTGGCAAGGTCAACAAGAATCTCGTCTCCCTCATCAACCTCGCCGGCGGCACCGCCGTCGGCCTCTGCGGCAAGGACGCGCGCCTCATCACCGCGCGCCCCTCCCCCAACGCCGCAGCCCTTGGCTTCGTTGGCGAAGTCGCGCGGGTGGACGCCACGGTCCTCCACCCCATCATCGCCTCTGGCCACATCCCGGTCATTGCCACCGTTGCCGCCGACGAGACAGGGCAGGCCTACAACATCAACGCGGATACGGCGGCAGGTGAGATCGCCGCTGCGGTAGGCGCCGAGAAATTGCTACTGCTCACAGATGTGTCTGGGATACTGGCGGACCGTAATGACCCTGGGAGCCTGGTGAAGGAGATTGATATCTCTGGGGTGCGGCAGATGGTATCTGATGGGCAGGTAGCTGGTGGAATGATCCCAAAGGTGGAGTGCTGCGTGCGAGCTCTCGCCCAGGGTGTGCACACTGCAAGTATCATCGATGGGCGTGTCCCGCACTCGCTGTTGCTCGAGATTCTCACAGATGAGGGCACTGGCACAATGATCACTGGCTAAGGTGTACAATGCCTCCTTGGTACTTCCTTATGCCTTTCTGTTCATACTGCCAATCTGCCATGTAATTTATGCCAATGTAGCCTTACCTCATGATTGCAATAAGAGTACCTTCCTGACATTTGTGAACTGTAGGAGAGTAATACTGACTGAGGTTACATTTTATTTAAATAAAGCTGCTTTTGTTGGGCTGTGGTATGAGTTTTTGTCTAGCAAAGCAAGAATAGTAGCATCTGTGCCATTTCTTTTCTTAGTGATAAGCATAGTTTTGCAATTCTGCATGACTGTAAAATCTTCCTTTTTTAAGTGTAGTTCAAGATTTCCTATGGGATTCAGTTGCAAAGATGTAAACTGATGCGTCACATATGTACTTGAACACATCTTGAAAATTGATGTGATTCATGGGAAAACCTAGAATAGAAAATGGGTAGCTGGTGATTTCAGTAAGCTCCAATTTTTTTATTTTTTTGCGGGAAGTAAGCTCCGATTAGCAATGTTGCACAAAAATATAAACTTTGCTTTGAAGCCACTTAATGATAAAATCGTAAGCTTAGAAATATTATGCACAAGTATTGTTTGGAACACTAATAGTGCTTGTGAGCCTTTTTACGCATTCCTGTCTGTCAAACTTTGATGGCACAATAAAAGGAAAACTAGATATAAAGCCATCCATTACTAGGACCTCTTGCAGTCTTACCGAAGCTAACCAAATTATAGTTTCCATGCCATGACATTCATGATCTCAACATGTTTAGTGTCAACATTTCTGTAGAAACAATGGTACCAACTGCAGTGTTTCACACAAGTCATTTCTTCATTCACATTTCACATATTTTTAGTGATCATTTCAGGTAATACAAGAGCTAAACTTTGCCTCTCTTTTTTTTTGCTCTTGACTTCACTACCCCATCATTCCAATTCCAATTAAAACAGCTACATTTTAGCATAGTACTAGCATTTAGCTCAAGTTTACGTAGTATTCTGGCTTGGGTTTATCCTTTATAGGTTGCTAAAAGGATATAGAATCTTTCTCTTACTGAAGGAATTGAGTAAATGTTATTCCATGCTTGATTGAAGTCACCAAATGATATATTTCAGTTATGCACTTCTTTCCTTTTGATAGAGCTACTTGTCTTGTTATAGCCTTGTCTGAGAGGCAGGTAAATTACATTCTTTACAATTTGATGAGTTCTGTCTCATTTTTCTCACTACAGTTGATGCTTATGGTACACCTGTCTATGAAACTAAGAACACTCAAAAACATCTTTTCAGTAATAATTAACTACTCACTGCAACAGATAAAAATAGGTGGCGGGGGTGATTTACCATCTCTAAACCTTATTGAGAGCCAAAAAGAGTATGGCTGGAGTAGTCTTGTCAATAAGCATCGACTGACCTGCAACTGCATTTACCCACTGACCAGCTACACGTTTTCATTCTGAAGGCCTCTTAACTTCAGCAGAAGGCCTTCCCTTTCCCTGGTCTTTGGCAAATACTGTATTAATCATGAAAGATCCTAGTAATAAAAGATACAAGCACCAGCACTTTCTCCATTATATCCACCTTGTCACTGCAGTAGTAAAATAATATAATCAGTGTGTTACGCTATCTTAACATAGAGAACGTTTAACATTCTTCTGTTAACTTTCTCCTGGGATGTCCACTGATAGGGCATTGGGCCCTTGTAACTATCACCTCCTAGGAGGTTTGTACTCTCTCATCTTTTCAATGCAGTGAAACTCAAAGATCCTTTTGCGTTTTCTTGAAAAAAAAACATAGAGAACATTTAACATTCTTCTGTTAACACACTGCTGTTAAATTTCACATGTCCTGCCGAGGCTGCTCCTACCATTGTATCCATGCACAGCGCCTACTTTTACTTTCTCTAGCATTCAGATTTACCTTTTTTCATATATTTTAGAACTGGTGTTGAAAAGAAACTATGGGTACATAACCTGCTTTAAGGTTGTGAAAATTGGAATGGAACAGTTTACAAGTGAACTGTGGTTTTGCTTATCACCAGACTAATACATCTGCTATTTGTGTCCAGTATATACTGCTAAGTG